ACTTTTCTTTTTTGTCATTTACTTGATTTTTAAAGGATTTTTTTTAGTAAATGGTTTTTGTATTATGAATAGTTGAATTACATTTTAACTTTGTATATGTTTTTACTTATGTCTTTTAACTGTATTTGTTTTAATTTCTGCTTTGAATCCCAGTACTGGCGAAAAGGCAGGGTGTAAATAAATTAATAATAACAATTGTTGTGATGCTACTTTATACACAATTGCATTTAAACTATGTTCAGAATTTTTCTGTTTCTCTGGCGTGGACACTAGTGTAGACTTTAAAAAAACACGCTTCTAACTAAAATAATTGCCTGTCTTCCTAACGGACTAATTTGAGTCATGTAGTCTCATCTTTGTTTTTTGCAGAATGTTTCTTTACAGTTTTTTGTATGACAAGTTCCTAATGTTTGCAAAGTCTATAGAATCCTTTTCCATGCCTTTAATTTTCTATTCTGGAATATATCAACCATATCAGCCTAAACTGATATGGTCCAGACACTGATTTACTACCTGAATTGAAACTTGGCCCACATCCAAAAGTCACTGCCAGAAATAGTGCAAATTGAGTCCACTTTTAAGGTTAGGGTTAGTGCTAGGGAATCATGGGAATTGTTGCTGTTGTTTTCTGAGACATTGAGCTTTCTCTGTCAGAGAGCTCTGGTGCCACAATAAAATACAGTTCCCATGATTCCCTAACCCTAACCCTAAAAGTGGACTCAACTTGCACTATTTCTGGCAGTCTGCAACTCCCCTAAATTAACATGCCTATATTAGTTCTGTAAGCCTCACACATAACTTTACATCCCTGTGATTTTGCACAAATCCTTCCTGATCTTTACCATAAATGTGCAACATAATGCCATCATACTCAAATAACCCAATTATTTGTGTGCTTATATACTTGACATATTATCGATTCTTAATTAAGAGTCTCAGGCCACCACTGCTGGAGCTATAGCAAGTGACAAAGATGATACAAGGAAGGCCACAGCTGGCTCCAGCTCCTCTCAATGGCAGTTCTGCATTTTCTTTTAAAAGCCAGTAGTAAATGTCACCACAGAAAGAAGCAAAATGCTTGTTTATGTTACTACCATTCACCAAGTTTAGTATCACATGTCCTATTGATGGTGTCTTCTCGGAACAACCCAGTTTAATACAGGCTCCCATTTCTTCTGTGCTAGATTTTGCAACAAGCCCTTAACATCTTCAGAACCACATTAGATATAGATATACAACTCAAGCCCTCCTCCTTCCTCAACTTCTATTTTTCTCCCTACCTTTTTAAAACATTTATCTCTGGTCCTCATCTATGCACATATTTTAAATAAACATCTCAAGCAAGATGTAGACCTGTGACACTTTTCTTTCTCTGTGTGACTTTTTTTAAACCAACTTTGCCTGATGAAGACACCAGCAACCCCCCCTCCCCCAGATTTATCTTTTTAGTCCATTACTATACTACCCTATTATAAACTTGGCCAGGTCTTGGGTTCTCTGGCCTACCTGCACAGTTCCTTCAATCCCAAAGTTGAGACCTACCAGCAGCCCATGGTCTGAGTGGAAACAATGCCTCACCTCACAGTGACATGAGTCTCCCCACACACCCCTACCTGGAACATGGGTCATCAATGTAAGACCCTGTGGGGGAGGTTTTCCATATAGAGGCTGTTTAATCCCTGCACAAAAGATAGACTGCTGCGAGCACAGCATAATCCTCTCAGGAGTTAGGCTATCCAACACAAAAACAGCTCATCCAGATAACAGAGGCACTGCTGTTACAGTCTGCCAACACCTTAGCACAGGGGTAGGCAACCTTTCCCCTTTAAGGGCCGAGGGACTTCAGCTCCCAGAAGCCTCAGCTATGTTGGCCAATAATCCCATGTTGGCCAATAGCTCCTGGGATTCTGGGAGCTGAAGTCCCTCAGCCCTTAAAGGGGAAAGGTTGCCTACCCCTGCCTTAGCACATTAATGTGTGCCTGCGATATGCTGTCCATCTTTTAAAAGGAAAGAAATGTTAACACAAGCAGGACTTGTATGACCAGATTTTACTACTATAATTTTAAAAACATTTTTTACTAGTTATATTTTAGTCTAAATTGATTGATTTAAACGCTTTTTAAGGGGGGAGGGGGGAATGGGGTGTTTTAGATTGTATTACTGTATGTAGTATTTTATTATGTTCACCGCCCGGATTGGTTCGCCATAGGGCGGTATATAAATAAAAATTATTATTATTATTATTATTATTACTGTACGCTTATCTAGAAACAACAGCATGGTACAGAAGTATCACAGTCCCTATTTCAAAAGCTCATGTTTGTATGAAACATTCTTATCTACAGTTGTTCATCATGATGGGAAAAGGCCAGGCAAGGCAGGTTTCTAAAACTGAAATAAATAAAACTAAGCTTTGATATAGACCAAGTTCTTGCCACCTGGTGTTTACCAGATTTTCCAATGAAAAGTGCCATTAGACCCAGCCAGGATGACCAGTGGTCAGGGATAATATGAGCTATAGTCCAAGACACATGGACAACATTAGCTTAAGGAACAGAGCCATACACCAACATAGTGGATTGGATGCAGATTTTAATAGGTGTGTTATAATTATGACTTTGGATCCTAATACTCATTAGGTATTGTAAGTATGACTATGGGCCTTTGCAGACTGCCAGAAATAGTGCAAATTGAGTCCACTTTAATTGCCCTGGCTCAGTGCTAGGGAATCGTGGGAACTGTAGTTTATTGTGGCACCAGAGCTCTCTGACAGAGAAGACTCAATGTCTCAGAAAAAAATACAATTCCCATGATTCCCTAGCATTGAGCCAGGGCAGTTAAAGTGGACTCAATTTGCATTATTTCTGGCAGTCTGCAAAGGATCCAACATATTCAGAAGGTCAAAAACTATGAAAATGTAATATTGGAAGTGCATTGTACAACACAGGAAACAGAATCTAGACTTCAGGTGGCATGGACCTTTGAAGTCCATGAGATCAAAAGAAGTGCATTATGGCACATTGAAATGAGCAAGTAGTAAAGCTATCTTAAAGCAAAATTATAAAACAGCAAAGCTATTTTAAAGCCACTACATTATTCTAACTATGAAAGGGAAAGAAGAATAAATACAGCATTTTCTAGATGAATACCATACAGATGAAACAAAGATTTTCCTTATGAACACTAGCTTACAACTATATCTGCATCTTCAATACAGGTGCTATTCACAATACAGGTACTATTCACATTAGTGAATAGTACTAATTTATATGAAGTATTTCACAAGCATAAGACTGACAGTCTCTCTCTATATATTTTTTTTTTGACTGGCTGTTTTTAAACAGTAAGGACATTTGCAAAGCCTTTCAAAGTTAACAATATTTATGTAGAGGAGATGTTTAGTTTCATGAATTTACAATGGGTGGATCTTCAGGTCATCTCTTGTGTAGGAAAGAACATCACTGGATCCAAGCAAGTGTCTTTGACCACTCTTTGGGGCTTTTATTTTTTTTTCAGAAAAATCACAAGAAAAGGGCATTTTCAGAAATAATCAATGCCAGTGTTTTTTTACTTCTAAAGACACTTTTGAGAGGGGAGGCCTGGAGACACATTGTGCAACATGTTTGTTACAACTAAACAATATGGATGTGGTGCTTGGATGTGCAATGATCTGCACAGCCTACATGCACTGCTTGGGTTCCATGGAGGAAAAACAGAATATATGTATAATGCAGTGTATAAATAGACAGCCTGGTAGTTAAATCCACAGCTGTGTTGAAGAAGACTTGTGCAGCAAGTTGTTTTAAACAAGCCAGACACTTGAAGGTTTCAAAGAAATTTACACACTCATTTGAAGAAAACACATGAACTGCACACTAATGAATAGTGTTTTCACAGTGCTCAGTACTTTAAAATGGTTATGGTACATAAAGTTGTAATTACAAGCTTTAACATTTTTCTGACAGGCTTTGCAGCATATTCCATGAAAACTATCACAACTACAGGCAGAAAAACCTTTACTGATTGTTACTGTTTTTTCATCAGTGGTTCAGTCAATGGCAAGAGATAAGGTTGCCTACCTAAAACCAAGTCAAAGCAAATGACAACATGTGATTTCTCCTTATAGAAAACATGCCTGGCTTTGAGAATAATCAAAAACTCAAAAGTATCATGAACCACAGTCATGGCAAATGTGTGTGTGTGTGTGTGTGTGTGTGTGTAGTTTCTACAGACAAAACAGTATTCAGACAACTGTACAACTGGTGAGCCATCTGCACTGTAAAAGACTGAGAGCCAGAATGGCAGGGGCATTACTGGGGCTGGGGCGGGGTGCAGGCTACAGCAGGTGACACCCTAACGGGAGGTGACACCACTATCCCCCAAACATCTGCCTTTTGGCAGTAATGGGCTTTGGAGTTTACCTGTGTCACTTTAAAATGCTGGAGACATGGTGTGAGGCTCAGCAGAAAGAGAAAGGGCAGAGCCCAGGTTTGTTTGGTTTTTTTAAAAAAAATAAATTTAATTTTTAAAATTATTTTTAAATTTTCTTAAAACATATCAAATCTTACCAAATTTTCACTTTAACCACATGAAACGGTGTACATGTAAATGCATTTAGGGTGTGCATATGATATTTTAATGTAAAGGTATAATTTTAATTTTGCTAGTTGTTTTATGTCACAACTATGACCATTGCATTCAGTGACATATGAGAATTACAATTTATGAGTAACATTAGAACCAAAAATATTACTAAGGATTCTGTATAGTGATTTGAGCCTTGGACTAGAAGTCTGGGATACCAGGGTTTGAATCCCCAGACATCGAAACCCACTGGCTGACCTTGGAATAGCAATAGCAACAGCAGCTACATTTCTATACCGGTCCATACTGAATGAAGCAGTCTTTAAGCAGTTTACAATATGTAAGCTAATTGCCTCCAACAAGCTGGGTACTCATTTTAGCGACCTTGAAAGGATGTCAGTCTGAGTCGACCCTGGAGCCCCTGGTTGGAATCGAACTCACAACCTTGTAGCTGCAGTACCAGCACTTAACCACTGCACCACCAGGGCTCCCTAAAGTCGCACTCTCTCATTCTCAGAAGAAGGCCAATGGCAAATTTCCTCTGAACAAATCTTGCCAAGATAGGTTTGCGTTAGGATCATCATAAGCTTGAAATGACTTGAAGCTGCAGTCTGCTCCAACTGGATGCCCTCCAGGGTTCCCCCCTCCCCATTTTAGTTCTAATAATTTTTGCGATGTCAGTTGAAGCTGATAAGAAACTGTAGTCAAACACAACTGATGGGTACCAGGTTGCTTGAAGAGTACATAACTTCAGATAGCAAATAAGCCATTTGCTTATATTGCTAGGGGGAGGGGAAGAATCTTGGTGAAAGAAAGATTGGATATAAGACAGATTTTGGGCCTTTGCAGACTGCCAGAAATAGTGCA